TAGAAGGATTAGTGCATATTTCGCAAATTGCAAATCGTCATATAGGTACACCACAGGAAGTATTAGAAGTTGGGCAACAAGTAAGTGTAAAAGTATTAGAGGTAAATGAGAAGGACGAACGGATCTCATTAAGTATTAAAGAAATTGAACAGGATCAAGCAGAAAAAGAATATAAGCAATATGAAAAAGATGATGAGCAATCAGGATTCCAATTAAGTGATATTATTGGCGATAAACTAGAGAAGTTTAAAAAATAGCATTAGATATCAGAAAACGAAGGCTGTCACTGAACCATTAAGTGCTAGCCTTCGTTTTATTCATTCATATGAAATTTATCGTGCTTTATATCTGAAAAAGGAATTTGTCTGTTATGGACAAGGTCTTTTTGTATAGATTCGAGAAAATATAGAAAGACTTCGTAATCGTAGGAGATGATGAGGATGTGTCAAGGGGAAGTAATTGGTTCCAAATATTTGGGCCTTTTCGCTCATCGAATTCAAATGATATGTGAAAAGATGGTCGGGTCAGCCTTTAGCGAGAATGATCAATATGGTTAATTAAGTTTGACATTATTACACAAAAAAGGTATTATTCAGTGCTTTTTATACACTACCGACATGGAAAATTTAAATCTACTCTATTTAATATATGTATACTTTTGACTAGATCAGTGCTATATCTGTTTGAAATAGTCATCATACTTGGCATTAGGTCAAACTACTCAAGTGAGATTTATTACTACAGTTGCAAGTTGGATTGAAACACTGTGGAGATTAAAGTCTCTGACATTCCCGCTCGTGAAAGATCTTTGATGGACATAAAATCACCATACGTATCCCTGGCATTCATGATGGCTTCGGCTCGTTTCTTACCCACCTGCTTCAATTTCATAATATCTTTGAGGCTCCCCGAATTAATAATACGCAACATCACTTTTTCTGTATCTTGCTTGACTTGCTCGATGGAATGGATAGTTTTTACCTCTTGATGTTCAGAGGCAGTGTTGGTCATATTTGATATGCGATGTTGCTCTTCCTGACGCTGTAGCTGCTCTATTTTGGCTATTCGAGCCAGCGTGGATTCATATTCGACTGAATTTGGACTTTCAAGAACAAGAGCACGTTTAAAAGCAACAATCGCATCCACCAACCAACCCTGTGACACTGCCTTTTCTGCTTCCATAACTAAATCATTATGCAATGTAGTACATAGGGATGATTGAAATGGTTGCGCTATGTTGGTCCTACTTGAATGAGTATAAATCATTCAAACAGTAGATTAGTATCGTCTATTTTACAAGCAAAAGTGCAGTATACGCTTTTCTAATCCAAAGAGTATGCATATGTTTTACCACATTATATCAAAAAAATTGTTACATACTCTAATAGTTCGGCACGAAGGGTCGCTAAATGAGCATTGACTTGTGCTTCAACTTTTTGTTGAACAAGCTCATCCAACTGAACGTTTTGAAATTGTGACACGTCACTTGCATCGGATACTGTAGATGCATTGCTATGACGAGGCTGGCGGGATTTCTGTATATCAGTCGACTGCTGTGGTGTAGTCTTTGTGCGTAGTTTCCATTCAAGCAACTCTTGCTTACGATTTGAAGTCAAAATTCCCGAACTGGCTGATGAAGATCCAGAAAATATACTTTGTTGAATCTGAGGAATAACAGGTTTGGCTGCAGACAGGTACAACAAAAACGTGTCAATACCCAATTGGATTTTCAAAAAACCATTTATAGATTTCAATTTCCAATCAAATAGGTAGCAAACTCAAAAACATGCCTGCAATCTCGTGTCGAACAACAGTATTTTTAATAAACGACGATTTGGACGCAAAGTTTAATGTGTTGTAGGTGTCCCAATAGTGTTCCTGGATATAGCATCCAGTTTTAGCTAGTTAAATATGTGCTCAACAACAAAACTTGAGCAAAGTATACATTATTGCAACTGTGTCGTTGTATTTACCTGGCCCGAAGCACAACATGCAATCATCAAACCTATGGCACTTCCTCCTAATGAATCCTGCAGTAATCGAGTAATTTTGCTATCCCTATTTTGTAAAATAATTGAGACAACCTATTCATTCAAACAGTTGGGATATCAAGTTGTTCATCACATACCGATATGGAACACGTTGCTGGCCCTTGTTTAATGCTGTTGAAATCAAAAGAAGATGGTGAATAGATTGAAGCCTTGAATAAATAGATCCTATACAACAATACATGCCTTCGACTACTTGACCAAGCACAAATAACGATTTGTTAATGGCACCACTCTCAACCATTCGCGCGCCAACATTTCCTGTTCGCTTGTTGTCTTCACTTCCAGCCTAATGTTGTATGATGCAATATTTAAAAAAAATCCATCTTGATAAAAAAACATGATATGCTTACCAAATCAATAATATGTAGTTTAGACATGAGTGTTTTCCCGTTTTCAAGAGTTGTATTGATCTATCAATAGTCCAAGTGGGTGAATAGACTGATGCAAGGCTGTGAGCATACTTGCACAGATAAAATACATACCGAGATTTGCATAATAAAGTGAGATCGAGAAGACAATTCATTGAGATTTGTAGCTGCAGTAGATCTATTTTTTAAAGCAGTTCTACATTCATTAAAAGTTAGTTTGCTTGTATGTAATACTAAAGCGAAGCAAAATTCAACCACCTAAAGCCATAATCAAATCTTACTGATGAAGTTTTTCAAAATCATCAACGGATCGAATCAGTGTTGAAGAATGACCCGAGACAATAATATTGCCTTTGGCGTTTTCTCTTAAATCCAAGTTTTGAAGCGACTTGGTATCTCCTGTAGCCAACAAATCAAAGATTCTTTCATTGTAAATCTCCAAGTAGGAAACAGATATGGATGTTTCAAGTGCGTTTTCCTTGATGTGGTTCAACAGATACGATATTGTCCGTGGAATGATGCCTTGTGCTTTGAGAGATCCATTGATGGTGTGTGTTTTTCCACTACCAGTCTGACCATATGCAAAAACTAGATTTATATTGGTATATGATTTATCAACAAAACAGATTTACATTGTACAGCAGACATTTCTTGATCAGAAACACATTTGAAAATCTTACTTGTGGTGTTGATTCCGCTAAACACACTTAAAATGACTGGCTCGACTTGGACAAATACAGACTCCTATTAATATTATGTTTAAAAAGCTTGATCATTGACAAATATAGTAGATTGTTATAGTATAATGGCACTCACTTGCGAATCTGATTCCCCAAAGACTTTATCAAAGCTAAACAAACAATCAAAAATTCAATCCAATTATATCCAAGTAGCAGATGAAAGGGATAGTCGCAACCGTATTGGGTTACGAGACCTGGCCATGTATACATACGTGTATTGAAGTTGCTCGGTAGTATTTCGAGGGTTGGTGATGTAGATATCATTTGTAGTGGTGGTAATGCACGCTTCACTGTTGTGCTCGTGAGCAAGTGAAGGGCGTACTCTAATGACTACTTTTACTGCCTGTTTTCCTAATGGAGTCACTGCTGGTGAAGTGGTCAATGTACTAGCAGATAATGCATTTCCTGCTGCTGGTTCTCGAGGTATCCGTCTTGCACCTCCGGACAACATGAATGGCAATGTTGGGCTTTGAGAAAAGTGATTTTGCAGCCGTATTCACGTAAAACCGGACACTAAATAAGGGTGTCAAAGTGCACAATAAACTGTCACTCTCATGGAGTGATTGATGATCATTTACTGGACAATATTGTCTAGTTTATTGGCTTGGACGGTCCTTTAACGATTGACATGAAAACAACAGTTGAATTCAATATCTGGATTGTGATGATTACCAAATCTGGACAATTTCTAGTAGGAAAGTGCAACAAATACTTGACTATTGCATATTTCAGACCCATCTCATCATGCTTTGAAACCATTCTGATAGTATCAAGTAGACTGAAGCATTTCAACAACAGCCTCATGTGGTTATACTCGCTTGGCTACAGATATCATGCTGATTATTTACACAAACCTAAACTTTAACTTACTATTGATAATTTATACACTGTTTTTGCAGAAATTTTGAAAATGGTTCCATAGTGTAGTTGGTCATCACACAAGACTCTGAATCTTGAGACCCGAGTTCGAATCTCGGTGGGACCTTTTTTTCTTCAAAATCAGTTGTTTGGTAAATGCTTAATACTCGACTCGATTCAAGTAAATCAAATACAAATTTATAGTAAAAGGTTGGGTATTTATTGAACTCGTTTTTTAAATCAAAGATGATTCAACAAGCAGTTAGCTGACTGAAAAGGTTCAAGCCATACTAGCATCCCATCAATCTAAATCGTACATTTGACTAGTCAAGCTTGATATAAATATCAGAATACGGGATATCAAAAAGTATATATTCAAAACGATTCAACTATAGCAAACAGCACCAAAGACCTATATCCCACGAGTAGAATGATCTGAGGCTTGGTTATCATAAATAAAGTTTGTATGTTCATGTGAGACTGGATGGAAACCATTAAAATTCAAATGCCCGATCGGATGTAACATTTGATGCATTGTAGTTGGTGGCATCATTGGCGGTGCAAAATGATTTAAAGGAGTAGTCATAATCGGCCGATGACCCATTTCGAAATCATTTCCGAATCCGTTCAAATGGCTTGATATGGGTTTCAGACCTGGATAGAGCATAGGAGGTAAAAGTGGGAGTTGGTTTGACATGGGTCGCATGGCATGTTGAACGGAATACCACGCAGGATCATGTATAGGTTCTGTAGGAATATCGATTCTTCTAAATATAGGTTTAGCAATATGAGTACTCAAATAACGGCAGATTTATATAGCAACTCGCACGATTTACTACAGATATATAGTATGATTTCTGGATAACTTACCGGAAATTGGTATGAACGTGACTGGGCGTCCATTTGGATGGTGCACCATAGCTGAATGTCTGTGCAAGTGGAAGCTCTACCTCATTACTACGCGATAGCTGATCAAAAGAATGACCCGAGTATATGCTTGGCATAGTTCTATTGGTTTGAAATCTGTTTTCAATAGTAGGTTAAACCATATCATAGTAACGAAAATGTAGTTAGTAGGTGGTGTGCAATGTCGTGAGATGATCAAATACAAACTACTGTATAGATAGTATTGTACCTTTCATATCCTATTTCAACAGAGTTTAAAACTGGTGCAGTATTTTGGTTTGTATTAATACTATCAAGAGTGGGCGATGGTGATTGGCTTGTAGACAGCGGGCATTGCATGAACGATGTAGAAACTGACGGGATTGACAATTTAGGCAATGCTGGCGGGTCGGATTTAGCAGTTTCCTGGTAGTCTGGATTGTAGGGATAGTCTGCCTGTTGAAGCTCTTGTTGTTGTTTTTTATAGAATCTCAGCAGCTTGTCCAACATAGTAGGATCATTTTCTATTTAAATGGTTGTTGTATAAGTAAAAATATGATGGTTGTTGGCAAGATAAACACGGGAATCTTAATCAGTGATCACCATTACAATTACAAAGTGATAGACTTGTGCTAGAAAGCTGTATGCAATCATATATCAAGAAGAATAAAAGTATGGCATGACTATGAATGGAATATGGAGTCAGCGATGGAAGGTGACAATAATAGGACACCAAAGGATAAAAATATTTAGCGTAGCAGAGGTATTAAAGCTGGCAAGCCGACTGCAACTTACGAAAGTCTTGCCTCCAACATTCTATATCTGAGGATTGGATCTGACGCCTTCGAACACATACTAGTTGAGATCGATGATTGCTAACAGTTTTAGCAGCAAATTCTTTATGACACAAGGGACAGGTCCGCAAGCGCTGAACCTTTTCTTTAGCCATAGGGAAAATGATAGCAGTGTATGTGTAGTCCACCAAAAGTGGTCTTGTAAAGTAAGGTATGAGCTGGAATACAACTGAAAAGGCGTTAATTTTAGCCACAATAAAAAAATGTGGCTGTAGATTTATTGCTAATGGGGGCGTAATGACCCTCAGTAAACCAGAGTGAGCAGCAGTAGACTAAAAATGCACAGGCTAGTGATGGCTCAACCAATTTGGACAGACTAAGATGCCAGCAAGGAGTAAGTTTGTTCAAGTGTGGAGTAGAATCATGCCTAATTTATTCCCAGCACCAGCTCAACTATTGAGTAAACCGAGTCGGAGATTCAAACGACCGTGTAGACCATAACCCCTAAACAATATCGGTACTGGGAATGGTGCTGTGAAGAGAAATCCACATGGCAATGACTCCCTGCTATACAAGGGAATACGTTCGACTAACAGAAAGTGGATAAATCCGTGAAAGTACAATGGTAGTCTTGCATGAGGGTCAACGTGGCAAGATGCATAAGAATAAAGCTGCAATGATACTCGAATGGCCTAATAAAGCTCACAAAAGTAGGTCAACAAAATCAAACTGTTGAAAGTTGACTGCAGCCTGCACAATAATGTGTAATCAAAAAGTTCAAGGGTATCAGGTTTGGCTACCAACTATTGGTGGTACTGTTTGGATTAAAGGAGAGCGCAAATCAGTAGCACCAATGGTCAATCTTGTTGAAAAGTCGGCTAAAATAGCTCATGAAAGTCGCTTGATCACAAGACACCTAGTAGCTTAGTTGAGTCTATTCTTACTTTCTACTCACCAGCTATTCTCCATTTCTTATTTATATACATCTACCATTTGATTTCTTGTACATCTGGTTATGTCTGTACTTTGTTGATCAATATTAGATAGAATACAGTGTAGATTTAAATAGAGTAACTGTCTTGTAATAGTGTATAGCTTGCAATCTAGTACACTATACTCTGTATATCTGCAACTAAAGTAGTTATTATAATTGTAGCCTTTAAAGTATTTCGATTAGCAAACCATCAGTTTTACATCTACCATCATCTGATTTGCCGCCATGTTCACGTAAAATGAGAACATTAATAAAAGTACCAAAATACATAATAAATAGTCTTGTGAAATGATTAGTGACAGTTTACTGGACAACATTGTTTTTGAACTCTTTAGTTACTGGTGATTATACAATGTATGGATGCCAAGCATCAGTTCAAAACTATAAATCGGACTGAATATATACAATATAATAACCAAATCACAAGCACACAGGTTTGCAAAAGTAAATAAAGAATGAATATGCATAAAATGTTTTATTAGAATCTAGCACTGTGGGACAGAGGAAGTCCGCTGGGCTCATAACCCAGAAGTCGAAGGATCGAAACCTTCCAGTGCTATTTTTGTGATTTTTTTAATTTTTGGAGTTCAATAATTTACTCGACTTTAATGAAACTTGTGCTTGATGGCAGTACTATTTTAAATTTGTATCATAACAATTTTTTATTCGTATGTTATCAAAAGCAGTTTCTGATGCGGTTGATATCAATGCTATTCAAGCGTCTTTTTTGTGACTTTTGCACGCTTTGTAGATTTCCCAAGCATTTTCATCTTTTCCTTGTTAATCCGAGTTTGATTTCCAAAGTTTTTATCCAGTAGTTGCTATAGAAAGAAACAATGGGATATATGTTAGATTTACCAGTAGTTTTATCCAACATTTAGACTTGCGATATAACAAATTGTATACAATATGAAAACTTGCCATTTTTGCAATTCGTTTGGCAAGGTTTACTTCATCTAGAATCTCCAATACATCATTTTCTGGAACAGTATACTCGGTCATCTTTTTTTCTACAAAAGATCATAAAATCATTTAGCTTCAAAAGCAAATCAAGTCAAGATCTATTCAACCGATTTTAAACGTACTAGTTTTTTTTTCAATATTGTGAATGATATCGACATCGCGCTCAGATACAAAGGACAGTGACATACCGCCTTGACCAGCACGAGCGGTACGACCAACACGATGAATGTAGTCGGTAGCATCTGCTGGAAGTTCGTAGTTGATTACCACTTTAACGGTAGGAATATCTAGGCCACTAGTCACAATGTTAGAATAGTACATTGCGTCAAGTTTATAGAGCAGATACATCAATTAGTTTTACAAACTTACCGGCTACCAACATCTGTTGCAATTAAAATCGGCACAATCCCGCTTTTGAATTTTGCAAGCGACCCCAATCGATCATTTTGTGGCATCTGAGCATGTAGTGCAGTTGATTTGAGTCCCAACTCCTTTAACATAATTCGAAGTGTCTCACAGGTTCTAAACCACAGAATCAGTTTATAGCATCATATAACCATATGTTAGATTACTTTTGAAATGACTACACACTAGATTAATCCATTTCAAAACAATAAAAGCCAAATACTCGATATACCTGCATTTACTAGCAAAAATAATCATGGTTTTTCCAGAAAGCGACTCACGAACTATATGTGCTAAATAGGCATCTCGAACATTGGAAGAAACCAAAATATATTGCTGGTCTAGCTTTTCAACTGTGCTATATCTAGATACCAAGATTCATGATACAATTTTAATAGCCACACACATTTTAACTGTTGGCTGCAACCAAATATATCTTGACAATCGTACCGTTCAGCACACTCGTAGACAAATGGTAAGGTTTTTGATGACATTTGCAATTCTTTGATTTCGTCCGTCATGGTAGCAGTAAATAAAAGCGTTTGGCGCTTTTGTGGAAGCTGGCTAAGAATTCCTTCTAAATCATCGCTAAAAGTATCATCAAGTAGACGATCAGCTTCGTCCATGACCTAGTCAACAGAGTTTATAAAAAGAATTGGAGTTATTATATGTACTGACAATGCGGTCGAGAGTACATGGCATACGATTTTGCAACATACCAAAAATCTAATGCGTTTAAAATGGATGGCATTGCTGCTACTTCGAATATGGTCCACAAGACGTCCTGGAGTAGCAATAATCACATGGGGTTTCTGGGACAGTTCAAGTGCTTGACTCATCATATCCATACCTCCAACAACCACTGATAGCTTAAGATTAATTCCAGTTCCAAGCACTCGAAATTGCTCGGCAATCTGGAATGCAAGTTCTCTATTCATGCCAAAATAAACATTAATACTAGTTTATAAAGACGACTGGAATGTGCATGCCCATCTCATACAATCATTCCCGTGTTTAAACAAGCCAATTAAATATACCTAGCTGGTGTGAGTACCAATGCAAACACACCATATGGATCCTCGCTTAGTTTCTGCAGAATTGGAAGGGCAAATGCAGCAGTCTTGCCACTGCCGGTCTTGGCCCCACCAATAATGTCCCTGCCATTGAGAATATGGGGTATGCAGGCCTGTTGGATTTCTGATGGATGACGAATGGATATGGATTTGAGTGATCCAATGAGCCATGGTCGAAGCCCAATGGATTCAAATGTAGCTGATTCGGAAACTTGCGCTTGTTTAAGAGTAGACTGTTGAGTCTGCTTTTCTACCTGTGCATTCAGTTCATTCTCTGGTACATGATCGTCCAGCATACTTGACAAAGCAGATTTCTTGGTTGTAGTTTTTGAATCAACCGTTTCTCTATTATCGAGCTGTCGACTTTTCTTTTCCATTTTAAAGCGTATTCACGTAAAATGAAACTTTTGTAATTAATATTTGTTGCACTGTTTCTTCAATAGACACAACGTTCATCATATGATGCACACAATCCTTTTATCCACTTTTGGTAGTCATACATTGCATGATTGACTGTTTTGATACTGTATTCCAACTCGAATACGCCTGTGTTCTAGTTCAAGAAAGCAATGGTTGCAACTGTTGTTTCCATCATGTCCAGTACATTGACACCAATTATGCCATGATGCCGTTCATGTATTTTGACAGTCCTATTAGTATCCCCATTTTACATACGACAGTGAATGTGTAAAAGTCGCATTTTATTTTTTTAAAATCAACCATTTAGCAACAAATAATATATTAGTAAAACCAATAATGGGTTGATTCTATCATGTATCAATGACGGCAGTGTTCAGGAACGGAGTTAGGATCAAAGCCAGGCATGGGGAAAGTATGGGCAAATTTCTCAACATCGGCCTTGAGTGCCTTGACTTCCTCATCGGCAGAAAGTGCAGCAACAAAGTCCTTGATGAACTTTCCACTGGTAAGCTGAACACGGAGAGAAATCTGAACAGCACGATGCATGAATGCCGCAATAGTGACAAAGTCTGCCTCCTTCAAAGAGCGAGATGTGAGGGCAGATGTGCCAATACGAACACCTCCAGGTGTAAGAGCAGACACATCACCGTGAACAGCGTTCTTGTTGAGAGTAATATTGACAAGATCGCAGATCTTTTCCATCTTGGATCCAGTGAGACCCACAGTGCGCAGATCCCAAAGGACAAGGTGGTTGACTGTGCCATTAGTAGCAAGCTTGTAGCCATATCCCTTAAGAGCGTTGGCAACGGCAACAGCATTGGCACGCACCTGCTGAGCGTACAGTTTAAACTCGGCTGATCCTGCCTGCTTGAGGGTGACAGCAATACCAGCAATAGTGTTGTTATGTGGACCACCTTGGTTGGAAGGGAAAACAGCAAAGTTGACCTTTTCTTCGAGATCAGAGTTCTTCTCGCCCTTGGGAGCACGTTGGAAGAAGATCAAACCGGCACGAGGACCGCGAAGAGTTTTATGAGTGGTAGTGGTGACAATATCACAATAGTCAAAGGGATTGGCAGCCTCCTTGGCGGCAACAAGACCAGAGATGTGAGCAATATCGCACATCAAATAAGCACCATGCTGATCGGCAATCTGTTATCAAAGCCAAAAGTACAGTTAAAGTAGTTAGAAACAATGGGAATTTCTAGCATTCTCAATAGTTGTGATAAAAAGGGCTTCAGATACCGTTGTAGTCTTAAATATTTCGGATAGTCATCATCAAAATCTGACTCTATTGGTGTCATCACAAGCCTTCCCAACACAAGCAAGCCAATATTCAATAGCAACTCATAAATAAAAATCACCTTGCGAAGAGTACTGTAGTCAAACTCTTGAGGGTATGCACTGGCACCGCAGATGATCAAACGAGGACGGAAAAGAGCAGCATTCTTTTCAAGCTTGACATAGTCAATGTAGCCAGTTTCGCTGTCAACCTGGTAGGGAAGCGACTCGAAGTAGATGGCAGAGGAAGATACCTTCTTTTTGGCAGTAGCATAGCCGTGAGTAAGATGACCACCAGAGGGCAGATCTAGTCCCATAATGCGGTCATGGGGAGAAAGCATAGCAGTCAAGGCAGAAAAGTTGGCAGTGGACCCAGAGTATGGCTGGACATTGACACCCCACTTTTTGGGATCCAAGCTGAATGCAGAAAGAGCACGATCACGGCAGATATTTTCAATCTGATCAACAAATTCATTACCACCATAGTAGCGGGCACCTGGAAGACCTTCAGAGTACTTGTTGGTCAAGGCAGAGCCATTGGCCTCCATCACAGCTTGGGATGTAAAGTTCTAAACACATGGATTGTGATGCATTCAACCAGCGACGAAGGAAATAAAACAAGTAGTTGGCAAGAGTTGAGGAAAGAAAAAAAGAAAATTCGGAGAGTAAAGAGCACAAGAGATTAGTAAGCCAACATAAAAAAATAATATGCAACGGGTTCGGGGTTGAATTGCAATTATACAACAGCTTTCATCATCTAGATGCACCGCTGTAAGTGATGTCAAGAATGCATTTGGGATAGATGCACAAATCAATAGAAAAAATAACTAGATTATCCAAGTTAGTGTACCTCGGATGCAATCAGCTCAAGGCAGGAAAACTGGCGCCATTTTTCCTGTTGAACAAGATCGTAAATCTCCTTGTCTTCAGTCTCGAGAGTAGTGTTAAGGCACTTGTTCTAAATAACAGTTAGATGGCAGTAGTTGTGCAAACATAGTTAGAGTTGTTTATTCAGCAAGATTTATAAAGTACAAAACTACCAGAAATCACAGTCCAAGAGTAAAACACCAAGACTTACCCATGCATCGACAGGAGTGGTGGCAGCAAGCATTTGTGAATTTAATAGATTATAAGCCTGATCTGACAAAAACTAAAAATCCGATTTTTTATCTTGTAAAAGTCACTTGATCTCATCACGAGTTGCAACTTTCAACAGTCACTGGACATTCGTATCTTCAGTTATCAATCTGTGTTGACTATAATCTTGTATAGTATTGGCATATAATCGATCTGTTTTAAATGAATCAAACTCTTGAAAATGTATAAATAGCAAGAGCCATCACTGTGTTTGCTATTGGTTTAAAGCATCTGTAATATTCCGAGTTTGAGATTGTACAAGAATAGTCGAGCCATGACTTACAAGTGTTGATGTCGCGAATGACTATTACAACTGGAATGTTCATCCAACAATTACTTTTAGTCATCAGTGTTAAACTACAAAAGTTTGTTTTGCAGATTAATCGATTCGAAAAAAATTAATTAGTCTTGAATTTCATTCAACTTTCTCTAGTTTCGACCTGCTACCATCAATACTACTTTAAATACACTTGGTTTAATACGATCAGTTAATCCCCATGTCTTATTTTTTATACTGTCCTTTGAAACCCTGCTCTCATGTAAACAGGCCATCAATCAATTCTATTTCACTGGCATATACTTGCATTCCATCTCTTATAACTAGCTACAAACCATACTTGCAGACATGCACAATGTCAAGAATTGCATTCAAAACTAGAAACCATAAAGTGCTTGATATGCAGGCCATAAACAAGGACGCCAATTCAGTCCTTGAAGCAGAACAAGACGCAAATGAAACTCAAGACTTGGAAGATGACGACAAATCGGTAAAAATCAGTCCATACACTATGATGGGTCGTAATCGGATAGGACTCTGCAGTATGCCAAAGGATCTTGATGCCAATATCATGGACACACTGCCAAGTGAGTGATTTGATGCATCCAAAAGATTGATCAACATACTAAAAAGCTATTTCGTGATATTAATTGCATGACAGGTGTTAATAAATCACTTCGAAATGCTTCACAGGCAATCTATCTAGCAAGCATGTCTCAATCACGCCCAAACGACTATTCGACACTGATTAAACGAGGTAAAGTTGTAATCAAGTTGTTTGGCTAGACTTTTGATTTACTGTCTTGAAATAGTATTTTCATGCACCATCTAATTATCTTATGGTGTCCATCTGCTAGTCAGTAAGAAGGGCACCACAAACAAAATCGTGCCCGAACCGCATGCCATTCGATATGATAAAGTGTCATCCAAAGCATACTTGTCAAGTCGAGCACATGCAGCTTATGGAGCAGCAGATTTTGTTTTTAGAGATATATCTCGCAGAATACCGGATTTTCAACCAACTAGCATTCTTGATTTTGGAACTGGTCCTGGAACGGCTATTTGGGCTGCAAAGAACAGTTGGCCAAAGTCGTTAGAAACGGCAGTGGGAATCGATTCTTCAGAGGAGATGCTTGAGCACGCTGACAAACTTTCAAGTATATCAATGCATATTTTTCTTGACTAGATAGTGTTTCAATATTCAATGACTGCCAGCTAGTTTTGTAGAATCTAACTTGATCGTGTTTTTGCTTTCAAGACATGCCAGATTCTGGGATAAAAGACTATAAAGGAATGCGTTATTTAAACTATAAAGAATCGTTTTTAGAGGTATTGTAGGCCATTTTTAAATTTATCACTGTAATTGGTGCTACTCACTCGAATTTGAATATGCTGACCATATCCATTTTATTAGCACGAAAAACATGATTTGGTAGTGGCTTCATTTGTCATTGGAGAACTCACATCAGATTTGATTATCAAAGCTACACTAAAAGCTTTGTGGGACCAAACTCGCGGAATGCTTGTATTAATTGATCGTGGAACACCCAATGGATTTCGACATATTGCAGAGGCCAGAGCCGCCATTCTTGAAATGGCAAATAGTAACGAGCAGCTCGGAGCCCACGTTGTATCTCCCGTAAGTCAACTTTTAATCGAGTGAGAATGTGTGATGTATGCATCCACCAACGTTGATATGCCATTGTTGAAATGCGTATAGTGCTCTCACGAGAAACTATGTCCACTATTGGTCAATGGAAAATCATGGTGCCATTTTTCCCAGCGTGTATATCGTAACGAAGTTGTAGTGAGTTTTGTTGGTAATTTTAATATAAAGATTGTGGGGCATGTTTCTGCATTATTTATAGCTGATGGGTTGTACATACTCATAAACTCATTGGTTTATTTAATAATAGCGATCCATCACTGGATTTAAAAGCGCTGATCATGAGGATATAAAATTCTCATATGTTGCTATTCGTCGTGGTGCAAGACCCGCTGTTACACAGTCTAAACTCTCTACCAAATCTGCTTTAACAGATCTATCGCAACTGTCCACCAATGACAAATCACTACTCCAAAAACTATCTCTAAACTGGCCAAGAGTTACAGCACCTCCAATTAAAAAGAAAAAGCATGTAATCATTGATATGTGCTCGTCAGAAGGTAATATTTTGCATGTATTTGTGGTTAGATTAAAGATTTCAAACTGATGGAATGACTTGTTTAAAACCTAGGCCAAATCCAACGAGTTATTGCTACTAAATTGAGCAGTCCGTTCTACAAGGACGCAAGGAAACTACATTGGGGTGATCAATGGCCACATCCACCGACAAGTGTGGTTCAGATTCGCGCACCAAATGCCGATCCAGACAGTCAGGAAACTGACAAGCGTGGCTCGTCGCCCCAGCAAACTAGCGAATGATCAGCCAAACCAGGAAATCAACTCATTGTTGAAGTGCTACGATTGCCAGCCAACAATCCCAATAAAACTAGTCATCGTCCAGTTGAATTAACCAACTCACGTGGGTGGAGTATTTTTAGATGTTTTATTACCAACTCAACGTTTGACAAGTGCTATGCAGGATTACGTTGACTTGCAGTCTGTTCAGAATACATTCGGATTGGGAGAGAATGATGTTTCGTTGTCTACCGAGTTTAGATGTGCATTTTATGTTCATGCTCCTGTCCGGAAGGGCAGCATGGCCAGTCGTCATGAGCCCAATGCAGCTGCTGTAAAGTCTCGGACTTTACATTCCACAAAACCATCGACAACTCATGTCCGAAAAGCGACATCTTTGAAAGACATTGGCTTGCAGCAGTCCATCTCAGCCTGTGCTGCATGGTTTGTACGATACGGTCCAAACCATCTGCAAGTCAGCACTGTTGTTGGTAGCAAACATATCCTTTTGGCTTCTCTTTCTGTCGAACAGCTTTCTGATGGAGATTCCAATGTATGTTTTTCTGCAGTATAGTTTGTCCTGCTAGTTTTAATACTGGTCTGTCAATGCATGTTTAATGGGTTGGATTTCATAAAACATCTGGTTTTCTGTGAGAATCTGCCAAAATTCTGGACATGGTTTCATAATCTAATTCGTGGTTTACTATTAGGCTCTTGAAATATCACTCGTTACTCATGTGCGGCTTGGACTTTTGGAATTCTTGCTCATTGCTGTAAAAGACACTCGCTCAAGAGATACCACGCTCTGGCTATTCGAGCCATTTTCTCTACATACTCTCAAAGTCCCATTTGAATTTGATTCAAGCGTACAGTTCACTGCACTGGGATCAACAAATGCAGAGGTATTTTGAAATATATAAATTGTGTAGTTGACGGAACGTATTGGGGTCTTGTATAGTTTACATACTGATCATTGGCTTGGCGTATTCAACTATGCAACAATTTATTGTTCAGATCGTGGATTCCCAGTGCTGCAGCTACATTGTCGTTGGATCTGTGGCCAGATTCTTTGTTGGTACAATTGTTCCAATGTCCCCTCCTGGAGTTCAAGTAGATACATTTGGGGTAACTCGCAATCATCTATTTTGTAGTCCAACTGTCATGAATTGAATGCACCTTGTATTTGCTAACCATTTTTCATGAAATTTTTACAACTTAGAAACTGCTTACTACTCATCTTACTGGACCACTGAATGCTACCGTAAGTACATTACTCAAAGTTTATGTGAATTGGGCCGGGTTTTCATGTACAGCTTACTAACCTGTACTTGTTTTTTAATCAAAAATGCAGGTTACCGCAATTAGTACATTTAGTTCTTCTACGCATGATGCTCCACTTTTTATCATTGGCACTTCTAATGGCGGAGTGGAGATTTGGGCAATGAAAACAGAGGAGACTATGGAACTAGTTTACACTATCAAGTCAGCATGCTTTTGTAGGTTTTTGAATTTGGTCCAAAACTCACGAGCATCAATTCAATGAGTTGTGTTTATATGGGCTAAACTTATTATTGCATTTGTTTTTTAAGCACCGATCGAACATATTTGTTTTGACAAATTTAGCATTGGACTCGAGCCGCAATACATTTTATATGTTTCAAATGAGTTGAATGTTGCTGATGTGTAAGTGTTAATCTTTTTTTTGATATAGTCTTTAAACTATTCCTGTTTCAGCTTACGGGTGTCTCGATGCATTGTTTATAGTAAAAGTGGTCACAGTATTACAAGTATTTTTAGCATCAATTCGAATTTCAATTCTACCAAAAGAATCACACCCACACAATTGGTAACTAATGCGCGTGTAGCTGCAATCAAGTTTGGAAGGGGTAAGCTTTTGGCTAATCTGGTCAAGGGTTCTCTAGTCGAGCTATTAATATCTTGTACATTTTGAATTTCTGTGCTAAACAGGCGTCAATGGAGAGGGATGTAAGCTTTTTACAGTATATTTGCAGGAATCACTTTTCCACTTGCAAATTCACAAGCTGTCTGAAGATGCCATTCATTTGATTGTTGAAGAAACCTTGGCAACTGGAAAATATGGCACTATTCAAGATATTGAGCCATTGGGATCCACTTCCAATTGTATGATTTTGTCATTAGATAAAGTCGGCAAGTTTGTTGGAGATCATAATCCACCATCTGAGCGCGAACATGATTATCCTCATTACAGTGACTGGCTATCTCGTGATCCCAAACGATTCCCTTATAGTCGCGAAACTTCTCAAGCTATTCTTACCCATCGCTGCAAAATGGATAATGAGCTGTTTATTGACAAGCTTCTTTCACTATTTGGAATCAATGGGCCCGCTGTCTATCCTCCATCAGATGCAGCTGAACTGGAGTTGTTGTTTGATGATGTTTTGTCTTGTGCTAATATGGCGTTGATGCCAAAGCACTGTGTGATTTTTTATTTGCTACTGGATTGTGGGACTATTGCTTCCGAGTATGCTTGTATGTGGGGCATCACGCAGCCTTTTTTAACTTCTATTCGAGGATACTGGGCTATGGATCATGGCCAATTTGAGGTATGCATTTTCTGATGAGTGTGTATACATTATGTTGATGTTTAAAGCTTGACATCATTGCCATTTAAATATGATACAATTATGCATTTTCAGACTGGATCTTTGCTTTTGTCTGATCCATCAATTGAATTGGACTGGGCACCAAAGATTCTCAAAACCCTCGTTGGCTATCAGCAATTTACACTGGCGTACCAGTTTATTCAACGAGTCCGGTCATCCATTTGGTCAATGACTGATGTTGAGTTGCAAATGGAGATTCTAGTCAATACTCATTTTGATGAGGCCATGTCGTTTCAACGAAAGTACGCTCCTGCACTTCAGAACCAACGTCTTTTTGCATACCTGATTGAGCATACCTTTTCTAGTATGTAAATCTTGGCTGACTACTGATTGAGGTTTGAGTTTTTCAAACAAGAGCCGACTTTATTAATGGTTTTGTTGTATTATTTAGCATCTCCAAATGCATCCGAGTATCGTAAACGTTTGCTAGATATTACTCTGTTGCCAGATGAAGAATCCTGTGTTATTTCCCAATGCCGTTCAAGAGCTAGTGCACTTTATGTCGATTTTCTCATTGCTTATTATTTGAATCGTTCAAGATATAGCGAAGCTATCCATATATATGACGAATTCTTTGGCAGTTCATCTGCTCTTCAAGATGAAAAGAGTGCTGCTAGATGTGCCATGATTGACAATGTTCGCTTGGTAGTCTCTCAGGTTCAACGAGCGTCATTGGCTATTAGTCGCGAAACCTCCCATCATATGCCTCGTTTACTTTCTGAAACAACTAAACCCCTTTCGCTTATGATAGCTACCTCAAACGCTGCTGAACCAGTTGAATCTCATACGATTGCAGCTAGTTCTATGTCAAATGACGTGTCCATTCAAAAGGCTTCTTTGACTGTGGCTACTCCAGTTCCAACTCCTATAGCTGCCAAATCCTCTCCATTAGAGCGCATGCAAAGTACTCCATTTAAAAACAGTCCATCTTGCAATTCGGTTCTTCGTGCTCTTCACGAAAACCATTTACAAAACAGCGAGACAGCCATACAATCTGCTCCAACAATGGCTGATTGGCAGCCTGCAGAACCAGATTTCAACACAACAAAAGACAGTTTCAGTATGATACTGAATACATCTGATTCATCTGATTCAACTCCACTTGCAATCTCAGATTCACTGATTGCGTCTGTCAGGTCTACCCAATCCAACCATGTTTTTGCGATTCCTCAATCAATTGATCGATCAACTCCACTACCAACCGATCGTTCTACACCTATTTTGACTGGAAGATCTTCTATTGATCGGTCGACTCCCGTAATGATCCATCAAACTCGATCAGAAATAATGCCATACTCCCCTAAACCATCTCCACCGTTTACACGACCTCCTATATCACCACGTAATGCTTCAACTAGCTGCGCTTCGCTAACTAGTCCACAGTATCAGCTTTCAAACCCATCTTTGAAATCTCAGACTTATTCATCGCCTGTTATTGTTGGCACTCAGCCAGCTACTGTTTTGACCACTGATTCTGTTTATGAGGTTGATGGCTCTTTTGTACCCTCGTTGCCAGATACACATGTGCGCACTCCAGTACAGATGGAACAGCGCGTCGGTACTTTTGAAGACAGATCTAGTTTGAGTGGAATGCGACCTGCAAGAGTTATATCGTCTCCAAGGGGAACTCCTGTTGGGTCAAGTGATGTTAAATTGACCAATAATTCGCCTTTTTCTCAGCCAGATATGCAACACTCGACACACATGCATTTGGTATCTCCAGCAATCATGGCTACAATTAGAAAGGAAAGTCCCTTGCATGCCAACGTCACTCCGGTGTCTGTCCGCCGGTCAAAGCGTCTTCCAATGGCTGCTCATTCCCAGTCAAATCTCAACTTGAACCAGTTTGCATCTGAAGCAAACTCGGGTGTGAATGTGCATGGCGAGGGAAAACATCAAGATGCGGTTGCTTCGTTGCGAAAATCTGCTAGAAAACAGTCCAAAAAAACAGGAGTGGATTTGCTTTCATACAAAACCAACACACCAAGCAGTGGATCTACCCGACTTCAGCGAAAAGTGGTTTCGGGGCTACTCGAGGATGAAGAGAATATTCCAGATGCGTCTCAAGTGGAATCTTCCAGGTCAACAACGACAACTCGGCGAACTCCTAAACGAACTGTATCTCGATCTAACGACGTCGCTTCTGTGTTACCTACAACATTGCTTTCAGATGTGGTGTCTGATGCAGATATTCATGAATCGGCTCCCCGTGGCCGTACTACTCGAGCTCGCGCAGTAGCAGCTTCAACTCCCATTTCTGCCTCGACTCTAATAAGCACCCCTAAAAAAACTACACAGTTTGTTCGCACATTACGTGCACCACCCAAGCAGCTTCGTAACGATATCATGATGCTGGACAATATTCCTGCTATGCCTGATTCACTTTCAGATTCCCGTCATAAACAGTCTACTCTCCCTGCAGAATTATCAGATGACACCAATGCAAATATGGGTAAATCTAAGCCAGAGCGACGCCAAACACCTCGTAAAGTTAAAAAAGCAGGCATACCTTTAAATGAAAACAGTGAAACGTCGACCCCACAACGCACTGTTGTTACTCGCAGAATGGCTAGTAGAGGTTAGCCATATTTAATGGGTTGTCGACTTGATTCATTTTTGGTAATAAATATTCTTTAATATTGACCCTAAATGTTCAAATCAATAGTCTGACACTACCTGTTCAGCACAAATAAACACCTGCATTACTATAACCTGAATGAATCAAGCATATTAAAACTTTTTGGTTTGTCTTGTACACACAATCACAGATAAAACTGAGTGAATGTTTATTTCTGTTTTAGCACATCCTTGTTTAATTTCCAACTCTGTTTTCATCCAAATCAGACATCATGATATTGGGTGACTGGTATGCAAACATATCTGAGATTTTAGAATACAAGAGGGTTGAGAACAGTCATCCGATATCTGGATTGCAATGAATGAATCTGGTAATCTCGATGACTACCAAACTCGCACAATTTCAATTTAAACCTATAACTCAATCTTGTTGAAACAATAGTTGAGAATGTCGATTTGTAGTAGAAATGAGCAACGGATATTAGCCATTGTTTATTTTGAAGCAAAATAGAGGCAATTACTGCAAGATGAATACAGAAAGCGTTCCATTTTATGTGAATACGGTTGTAAATGACCTTGTAACAGATAATCAAATTATTTGGCAACAAAGTTTTCAACATTCTTAAGCCAGTGAATGTACTCGTTTTGCTCCTTTGACTCGATGTAAAGGCCAACAAAGTTTGCCAATTCAGAGTCAAAGCCACGCTCCTCGAGGTACTGCTGGAAAGTTTCCTGGACGTTTTCCTCGAGATCGGCAAAAATAGGTCCACCATACTTGCTACGACGAATCCAGTCGCCTTCAGCTGATAGATCGAGAGCAAGCTTCTGAGAATCGACAAAGAAGACATGGTCGACAATGAACTCGCCGTTAATGGCAGTAGCAGTAATTTCAAGAGCACCTTCAACACCCTGCTTTTCAATAATGCAGGAAGTAACCACAGAGGGATCTTCGCTTTCATCTTCACCCTATCAGAATTTATAAAGCCATCCACGGTGAGTATTTTTGATCCAAGGATATGAAAATAAAAATAGATTCAACACTCACCATGTCTTGCTCGGCGGCTTCAGAAATCGCATCTGTGTTGAAGTAGAGAGTGATCCTAACAAGTAATACAATAAAATGATTACACATCAGTACGAGTCGTATGTATTCATATCTAGTCAACAGTCATAGCTTTCAATACATCTTACTTTTCGTTGCCAAAAGTGCGAGTCATGGAAATATCCTTTCCACCAAGTTTGTCCTCAATCTATGCATTACCAAAAATATCAGCAATAGTCAGCTCCAGTCACCAAAAAATCGAATTAGGAAATCTCAAAATGCCCCATGTTCAATCCATTCAACAGTAGTACCAAAGCCAGCTTACCGCCCAAATGTTTTTGGCTTTAAAGCTGGCCAAGAAAGAAGCGTTTTCGTTTTCAGGACTTTCGGCTTCATATTTGATCTCCTCCTGCAACTTGGTAACCAAATCCTTGTCAACTAGAACAGGTTGAATCAAACCCAGCAAGTTAGTAACCAAAATCTATTGCACCCATTACAAATAAGTGAGATTGAATTTTATCTTGATAGAGGAATGGGTGAGTAGCAGTGATTGAGGTTGATTGAATATATCAATAGCATTTTATAAATCAATCTAAATTTTTAAAAAAGATCAAATTGGCAGCCATAAAGCGGGGTAAAAACATACCAAGACCATGAGCAAAGCGACGAGCAGGAGAGATATGCAAAGCAGATAGCAAAGGAGTGGTTATTGTAGTCTTCAATTGAGAAAACACTACTGGACGAGCAGCAATGCGAGCAGCACCAGATCGGATCAAAGTAGTAGCAATACGAGTAGCAAACATTTTTCTTTTTAGATTGAACGAGTTGTGACAAAGTTGAAAAAAAAGGTTCAAATGTTTTATACTTTGATTTGCAGTCGTATTCATGTAAAATAAAAGTGTCAAGGTGTGTGGTAAACAGCCAATCTCGGAAAAAATCGATAGTTTACTAAATATCATGCCATTGGAACTTTAGAATGGTCAATCTCGATATCTGAATTGAAATGGATGAATATGACTTTAAACTTGTCAATCATGCAATGTATGACTACCAAAAGTGGATAAAAGGATTGTGTGCATCATATGATGAACGTTGTGTCTATTGAAGAAACAATGCAACAAATGAAACAGTGCAACAAATATTAATTACAAAAGTTTCATTTTACGTGAATACGCTTTAAAATGGAAATTGCATTTTACTGACAGACAGATGAATGAATGATTACAAATTACTGGTTTTTGAATTGATAGACTTGATTCAACAGTAACATTACTTTCAAGTAACTTAATACTATTTGATCAAGATTGTAACCCATTAGATTCAATAGCGTGATTGCAGTAACGATAAACATTGAAAGATATGCATATCAATAATGATTGATGGGTACTTGTGTCAATAATTCATTAGTATGCATTAATATGCCAGTCAACAGTCATATTCAAAACCAAGTCAATAATATGTAATGAATGTCAAATCACATGCAAAGTTTAATTATGGATTCAAGTCGTGAAATTTCCATTTTGATAAATTGATTCATTTTTCCCAAATAAAATCCTAATGAACAACTCAACTCATCACATATTAAAACTACTACACTCCCACATACTCAAACGATCATTTACCACTACCAACAGTCATGCAGCAACATCCAAACCCCTGCATGGCAAGGTTCAAGATCATATCAGCAAAAACTACTTGCTGTATGGTGCAATGTTTGGAGTAGCTACTATTCTTGGTAGTTTCCTCTGTAGTCAGATCAAAGAGTCAGAAGTCAAACTCAGGGCTGATATTGGTGAAATCAAGACTATGCTGACTCCGTTCATCGTCAAAGTCAAGATGAACAAGGAGAGACTTGATGTTAAAGAAATCAGACCTTTGTTGAAGTAATCAAACTCTAACCGATTACGAACCGTTCAACTAATTAACTTACATCGGATATAATATCCAAGCAGGGTATTATTCAACTCTAACACAATGTAACACTAGTGTGTCACATTGTATATCCCCTAATTCATAACGTCACCATCATTATTGACCCTTATGTTTCTATAACGACCCTACTTACTTTAACATGGTATTCATAGTTACCAATCATATGTAACTGTATCCCATTATAACAACACAGCTAACAGCTGGAATCAATCCTATTGGCCAAGTTATCTCCGGGTACTATAGCCTATTATCAAATACTACCTGTTTGAGCCACAAGCCTCAAACAATCTTTTACTATAAGAACTAAGACACTTTCTTATTAAATAAATATCCTCTGAATCAATCATCTAAATATCATCTGACATAACTTCGTTATTATCTATTAAGTTCAACTCGTTATTCTGTTGACTTTAATTTGCGTGACTACTTCCTGATTATCATTCAAGATCTCTTCTGACCGATCTTTTCTACAGCGGCAGATTATATATTATTACCTTATACTTTACTAATTGAAAGACTCAGTCTCTTTCTCTATTTTCTATCTCTATACTTCTTGCGCGATAATCAAAATCTTTAACACTTGACGACATTAAAAAAGACTTGAACAAGAGATGACGACTGATTGCTGATTGTAAATATACTAGCATTATTATAATATATTTAAAATAAAAACATGAATGTATCAATGACTGTAATCATGTCAACGAGACCAAAATCACTCATAATTGCCATGACCAGAGTGTTGGATGATCTGTGAGTATTATTAGATGATTGTGTAGTTTAACTTGTAGAGTTGATTGTCTCATTTGTCTCACAGTCATGACTCACACTCATCATGACTCAGTCGTGCGTTCCGATTGAATATTCAACATCCGATCGTGTGAATTGAATAAATTCAATCAACACATTGCATGACTTGATATCAACATTGTAATACAATGAATTATCAATATCAAATTGTGTTACAAACACTAAACATTGTTGTTTGAATGTGTTGTATTCAATCCATAACAAACTACTAATCGTGTATTTTGAACCATTCATCCATATACAATAATGTGATAATGAGTTGTCAATATACAATAGTACACTATACACATGGTTGATGCAATCAATTGATGTGTATGCATGCATTAAACACAAGTATGACTGATTGTGTGGATCAAACTGGTTATTGATTGTTGTGATGATATATCGAACAGTTGAATATTTATAACATTACAATGTTGTATTCACATAAAATCAAACATTTGTATGTTGCAGTGATTGTCAGTAATTTGATTTGGAATAAAAAATGATCAAATGTTGAGTTTACTGGACATTGACTGGATTGTTTATTTGTGATATTTGGTTTGTATCAAACAAGAGTTGGGAATTGAGCAAGTGTCGACAATGTGGAATGTATTGAAACTGTAATTTCTAAATGAATGGATTTTAAAATAAACTCGGGTGTTGAACCACGATATGAACTTGTACAAGTATATTCTGGTGGTGTTACAAGTGTATTGATCAACTATTGTATAACAGTCTCAGTGATGGTGTTAGAGTTGTGTTTGTTACCAATGGTACGCTATCAGCACAAACTCGACTGATCCAACAGTCAGTATTCTGTGATCAGTCCAACTCAAGTATCAGCACCACATGGCTGTCAACCCATTGTTGTCAGTTACATCGAGTGTTTGTCCAAGTAAATCGATTCAGATGGGTTGCATATGACCGACTAATCCAGCATTCATCCATTGTCAAACAACTATAATGCACAATACCACCGAGTGTGTAATCACACCTGCACTGATCAGTTGTTGCACAGTATGCATCAGTCAATGTCAAACATATGTGTGTCTGCAACTAAATTGCAGTCCATGACACATCCACACGATCCAACATGACAAATCATGTATCATGAGTCCAAGATTGATCAAAAACCTGATCACGGTAAATCCAGCATGTTGTTGCATATCAGAGTCGATATATCAAGTGACAGTTGCACACTTGCTGATGGTGCACAGCGTATCAGTCACAATACATGCACGGTATTGCATTGCAGTCATTGGATGACAGTCATTTGCAATGTGATACCGATCGACATACATCAGCATGGTGTGATGTGACCATAACCATAGTGGAATGTGTTGGAGTTGACAATCGATACACCATGCACATGACTGGAACGTATATATTCGAGTGTGGTTTGGTTGGTGTCAGGTTGATCATGCAATCACATCGGTGCAACGAATGAACAAACTGATGGTGATCTGAACCCATTTCAACAACAAGGAGTTGACAGTCATGGATTTGCATGCATTCAATATGTGTAGCACACCGTTGTTGATTGTTGACTGTGTATGCAGGTCAAGTCATCACCAACCACCAACCAGATCCAGTGCGTACATGATCATTACTAGAATGACTGCCAAGAATATTCGTGTCTGAAAGTTGATTGTGAGTTGGTGGTTTGCAAGAACCGGACACAACCAACATGCTATTGGATACAGCAACCTGATTATAGTCCAGTCACATGGTGTGATACAGTGGTTCGTGCAATACAACATCCAGATATTTGTAGTGTTGAACACGACGAATCTGTTGTTCGTGTAGCATCATATCAATTGGTAATTCGGAATCAAAGTGTTGTAACCACGGAAACTGAGTATGTTGCATTTGACTACACCAAAACTTGTTTGACATTATTCCATCCATCGTGCAAGTACACCAGATCCAACTGGAGTGATTGATCAGAATTGGCAAATATCACGATATTGTCGGCATACATGAACCCTCACATTGATGGTGATTTGCACAATACTCATGCAATGGCAATCGGTTGATATCATCGTGTGTGTTGTTGATGAACATGTTGAACAGTAATTTGACAGTGGATATCACTACCGGACTCCATGTTCAAATGGAAATGGGTTAGAAACCAATGATTCAGTTTGAGCACAAGCTGATGAGCATGTGTACAGCGCTGTTAGCAAGACCAGTGTACGTGGTGTCAATCACATATGCTGCAGTTATCATATCAAGGCACCAACCATGACAGTGTCGAATGCATTTTGAATGTCAATCAACACAACAATAGTATTGGACTACACGCACTGCCGTTGTTGAACAATATCGACTAGTGAAACAACCAGCACAGCACACTTGTTTGGTTTGAAATCGATTATGCTCAGTAGTGACGAGTTTGTTGAGCACCACGATCCATCAATGTGTGTTTGCAAGACCTTACATACCAGTTTATGACACACATCAATCAGTGTAATACCGTGTTTGTCATTTGTATCAATATGATCACCGCTATTCCTGTCGATATATGCAATCAGTACAATCGGTACAGTGTATGCAGACTGCCATCAGGTTGAATAGTGGTTGTCAGCATATTGCCTGAACTGTGTAGCAGGACACGATCAAATGGATTGGGTGGTTCATCAGGTGTAGCATTCGATGTATATAATGCGACTCGGTAGATTATGACCAATATCCTGTTGTTTTTCGGGTGTCTGGTGTGAACCAGCTGCTGTATTGCATCAGCTAGTCGATTTCAAGATATATCCGAGTCGAGATCAGTTGCATCGTCACGAATCGGAACCAGTTTGGATGGTGGAAGTGAATCACGTATATGCAAGTACTGCCATTACTGCAAGTCAAGTAAATGTCCATTATCGTCTGTAGCAAGACGCAAGTAGTGATTACTCGGTATGCCAAAAATAATATCACTGCTGTACTGAATGATACGATTGGCATCACATCACATCGTATAGTGGAATGGAATGGAATGGTGTGATGGCTGTTGTGTGTGTTGCACCACCAGACATGACTCGAGCTGCTGCAAATGTCATATCAAAACGATCATCAATACTGTCCGGTCAAGTGTGTCAGCAAACTTGATCCAGTTCATATATTCATTGGCGCATTCAAGTCGCTGGATTGTTGCATTGTGTTTGTCCCAGAATGCACCTAGTTGGATGCGACAGAGTTCATTGTGATTGTCACGGATACTTGCTGTAATGTACATCGATATTCCAGTGTTACCATGTCAAATCATCCGTTTGGTTGAACGATACAGTCGACGTTTATGTTCCCGAGCAGTATGTGAATGTGTGTGCAGTTGACAATCATCCACTGTTGCATTGGCAGCATCCAATAACTGAATGCATAGCTCGTGTGTGTCCGTGTATGATCCATCAAACGCTGCATATATTCCACCAATCGTGAACATTGCAATCCGATCATAGGCATATATGCAGAGTTGTGATATGTCAGTTGAATGAGTGGAATGGACTGAATGAGTTGGTGCATGTGTATTAGTGCGGATGCAAGTGTAAATGACACATCGTCAACAACCGCAATGTTCATGTCTACACGAGCAGATTCTACAAGTGTTTGTTCAGTCTCGTCACACACAAAGTGATTGATAGAGTGTCAATGACATGCAGTCCTGCTCACTCGAGTGATGTTACTGTCTGCATAGTGCCAACATACTGCATGACAGTCAAACGCAGTATTCATGCGTGTATGATGCGTTGTAATGACACATATTCAGTGTTCCAATCTGCAAACAGTAGCACTGATGAGTGATCGTCAAACGGAATAACTGCTGACAGAACATGTTGAATGGCAGACAAGACATTTCGCGTTTGATAGTCGCATGCAGCCGAGTGTCCAATGTACACAGCCAACAGTCCAAACACAGTCAGGTGTAAAGTTTGGAATGTTTGCGACAATTATGGTGCCATAAACAGTCATTTTGCAAATCCAAACCATTTGTCAATACTGAATGGTGTCTCAATGTTCGGGAACAGTTGCCGAGTGTTGCAATACATTGAAACCACACACTGTGTGCTTGAAACTGTTCGTTGCAATGCAAGTCTCGGATAATCCACATAGTCGGTTTGGCTGAATATATATCAAAGTAGTGAGTGTTTGCTGGCAATGTTTGACACATTGACTGACAATATTTGACAACAATTAGGAAGTGGTGAAACACACAGTGAGGATGTCGTTGGATGCCTGCGTTGACAGTTTTTGTGTATGTGTCAGTTGTTGTACGGATGATTGGTGACAGAGTTGATGGATAGTGTGTGCGGAACATGACTCTGGAGTAGTATAGATAAGGCACCGAATGATATCAGGTATTTTAGCCTATATCTCATAGTAAAACCTAGGGAATGTTGTTGAAATGAATATTGCCTGTGGCATCAACTTTGATTTGAGTCATTAGGGCAGTTGTATGAGCAAAGATTAGTGGTGTTTAGTTTGTGCCAGACTCATACTAAGTGCTCCTTTCATTGAGATTGCTTCTTCAGTTTTCTTAAACGACAGTCACAAGTCCAAAGTTGTAAAAACAACCATTTATCTGAGATAGAATCTCGGTCAAAAAGCTTAAAACAGAATAATGGGAAGTTCATTAGTTTGAAATATTAGGAGGTCTCTGTTCCAGATTCATTTAACTTGATTCATATTAAATAGCGATGGCATCGTATTTACTAAAATTATACAATATAAACAGCATTACATTTATTAAAAGTCAAGAAACGATATTTAGAGTTTCGTCTGAATCTTGGATTTTAAACCGTCTTTTCAACGCAGCAGTGTCTACTGGAACCAAATCATCATCATCCGAACAGTATTCATCATCTGTTTCGGCACCGACAGCCATTCGCCAAATCATACAGGCTGTCTTGTGGAATTCCAAAGCGTTTCTGTTTGGTAATTTGGTTGGGTTGTTTTGGACGAAATACAACGCCATTTCTCCATTAGATTCCATTGATTGTCGGTTATCAATATCAGTCCAGTTCTCCTGCCACAGCATACGATTACCCTTCAATACCCGAACAGTGTCCTTCCATTCTTTGTGCTTATCACTAGTTTCATCATTTGTCTCGTTGATCACCTTGACCACAAGCTTATCATCAGCAACGTCCACATATTGCTTCAACAAATCAAATTGACTGTGACAATTTCTGCATAACAGCAACCCATTTTGCACTTGGTGTTTTTGTGTTATTCCAGCTCGTTTGAATAGGGAATCTTCGTCATAAGCCATTGGGACATTATTTTGAGCAATAATATGAGACCCTGTAAGAGATTTTCGGTTCCAACAAAACAAGCAAACAACATCCCTCTTGACCACAGCCTTTTTCAAATCCTTGTGGAGCAACTCCCTTTCTTCTGGCACACCACCTAAATCTTCTGCAGAATTAGTTCTTGATGGAGTTCCTGAAGAAACTGCGAAGGGAGTGTGGCAGACTTCTGAATCAGTAATGTAATTCTTGTGAAAAGGCCGAATATAATAGTCAAACATTGAGTCGATAAAAGCGTTTTCTTGGTCTTTAAATTGCCTAGAAACCAGTAAGCTGTGGAGTTGAGTTCTGTGAGTAGCCATTCCAAAAGCAATTACTCCCAGCAAGAAACCAAAGTTGTTTTCGGGGTTCCATTTCGATTTCTCCCTTTGCTGTGGGATGCATTCACTGTTAATGTTGTAATATTGCTGGAGCAACAGTCTTGTTTGTGAAAAGTCCATTTTATTTTAGGAAAGAAATATGAAACCTCATTCTGTGAAAACACCGCCACAATCTGGGTCAGAAAGCTTAAAACAGAATAATGGGGAGTTCATTAGTTATACTAGGAGTCTCTGTTCCAGATTCATACTTGATGCTTAATGGGGGACTCTTATCATATTCACATTTGAAATATGAATTTGATTGTCTTGGTATATCCACGATTAATTTCTTGATAAAAATGGAGTCCGACTACGACTATGAAATGACGACCTGCTGCTAAACTAATGAATTGGTGTAGAGAATTAGATGTGATGACAGCAGAACAATTTATGCTTCAGTACAATTCCCTTTCGACCACAGCAAAAAAACAATTGTTGACCATTCCTGCTATTAACAATCATCAAACAACCTGTACTTTTTCTTGGTCTGGATTTAATCTATCCAGTTTACAAGAACGTAGTCCTCCAATTACTCGAGCTGTTCCTTTGTCATCTGGACCTGACTTGCCTCATCCCGATACAAATGATTTGGATATGACCATACCAATTGAAAACAATCAACAAGAAGATGATGAACAGCAAAATGAACTTGTCCCAAATAGAAGACGGAGAATGGATTCCACTGATTCCAATGATTCATACCAAACACCAAGAACTACTAATAGGAGACAATCAACAGAAACTCGAGTGAATGAATTTGAAGATGTACAGAGGCTCTTACGAACATTTGCAGAGGAGCAAAAGTACCAGCGATACAGTGATAATCGACCAGTCCCTCAACCAGTATTTGCTACAGCTCAATACAATGAATTGCTTAAAGAACAACCAACAGGAGATCAAGAGCTACTTGCTAAACTCTGTATTGATATCAAAGAGAATCTTTATCTGGCCTACGAAAATGAATCGAGAGCAAATTTCCATCATTCTGTGGTAGCAGAGAAACTAGTAAAGCTAAAGGAGCGGATTGAAATTGAAATGTTTGATAGAATGCTGCTAAAAGACTTTTCCATATCTAAAAAGTAAGTGACACCACAAAATAATATTCCTCTACTAGGGAAATTACAAAAATCTATAGAATTGACCAATTCTTTTAGGATTTTTGCTCGCTATCGTCTATACTATAAGTTGGTATCAAAATGTCCCAGATTTAAGCACTGTACACTGACTTTTAATATGTTAAAAGACCGTATCCCCAAGATTCTAAAATACTTTGATAGTCAAGAGTGCGCCAATGTTCCTCCAACAGACAAATGCTCAAAATACTTTTGGCTGACTGAACCGACATTGTATCATAATTTGGAACAGTCAAAGGCATGAATTACGACCACGGCGAGAAAGAAATCAATGTCAGCGATACAGATTCAGAAGATGAAAGTGTGTTAATGACTATTCCGGAATTCCAAAAGTCTAGCCACTGGTATAATTTCAAGCAGGCTGATTTCCACAACAAATCTGTCCCATTTGTAGATAAAATTTCCAAGAAAATGCTCGCATATCAGTTTTAAATTGCCACCACCAATATCATACAACTTGTATATCCGAATGGCTCACTACAAGGAACTCAACTTGTCCAACTTGTAGAGAAAGCAGTTTGGGATTTCAACTGAAAAACATCGCAACTACAATAATGAATAACATTTGAGAGTTTTTGGATATTCACAATTAGAATCTGTCTATTTCCCAACATTTTCATCAAATTTAAACAAATTCCAATTAATTATTTTCATTCATTAATGTATAACCATTTATGACTGAAATTGATGTTACCTTTCGAATGAACAGTGAAAACACAACTTGTCCAATATGCTATTCAGCTATTACCACACCATTAATTCAGTGTTTCAATGCGCTACATTTTGTTTGTTTGATGTGCTTTAAGAAATGTGACAGAAAAGGTTACTGTCCCCAGTGTCAAACTAGCAGAATATTTCATAACAAGTTTTTAGAGAAAACTGTCAAAAATCAGATGAAAGACTGTTGTCATCCGGGATGTACGTTATTGTTATTTCCTTGGGATGATGAACACAAAAATGATTGTCGTTTCAAGCTATCAGTGTCGATTTTGCGATGACAAGGTATCGAAAACCTCAATCAATGAGCATTTTAAGAATGTCAAATAACTTGGGTGACAGAAGGGAGCCGAATAATGGTTCATCAACTATGTCAGAATACTGCCGCAATTCAAGCAAAGGCTTTCAAATACAAATGGATGCAATCAAAAAGTCATTTATTGTTCTACGAAACGGCCAGGTGATAATATTCGAAAGGAGTGGGAGTAGTTATGGAATTGAAATATTCCAATTGAATAAAGATTCCACACACAGATATTGTTTACTAGATGCCAAATGAAAGTAAGTGCTTTGACAAATACACAACTATATCAATGAAACCAAATGATTCTGAAGCGTTGAAGCCTACTATACCTATTGAATCCATTGACTTGCTTATTTGTTCAAGAACTAATTCTGAGGATAGAGAGCAGGATGGAGTGGATAGATTTTTCGAACTACTGGATACAAGAGTCATTGATGTTGAAGATGAATAGTTTACAGGAACTTCTTATCCAATGAATTATAAGATAATCTCTTTTGTTTCATCAGAGTTATTGTTGTTGTTCATAATCATCCGATATAGTTTCTGTTGAAGTTTATGTTGTTTTTCCATTACTTTGGAAAGTATTTCGATGTCGCTAAATATGTTATGGACCTTCTTGTCTACAGCACTTAAAACCAAAGCCATCGTTGGATAATGAGCTTTCTTGAATGAAAGAACCAATCCAGAATGAAGAAGATAAATGGTATCTGATGTTTCGTGGTAACTGTCGTCCAATAATTCTTTGATACGATGATACAGAGACTTGTATTGATTTTGAAGCAATACACGACATTTATCTTCAAGCGATTGGATTTTTGATTTCAAGAGTTTATTTGGATTTGATTTCACAGGATTATCAATCTTTAGCATTTCTTTGGGGATATTCTCGAGCACAATAGGTTTAATGTCATTTCCCAAGTAATGTTCTGCCACTTTGATCAGACTATTGTTTAGTTTTCGTTCAACAACCTTGTAGTTTTGACCGTTTTTTGGGTCAGTATAAACAGTGTTAATCGGTAAGTTTTTGGATATTTGGCTTTCAATGAGGTACTTGGGATGTTCAATGTCATTTGTTTTAACCTAATCCAAGAAATTAATTTTTTGAATTTAGAATAAATTGAATTTTATTTCGTAATAATAAACAATTTCATTGAAAATGTCGAGTGTTATGGATGAAAATGGTTCTGCTTTAAATGAAAACCCTGTTGGATTGTACAATGTGAAATATGAATTAAATTATTTTGTTGATTTCCTGCTACCATTAGGAAGAAAACAAGACAAATATAAAGAAAATGATTGCGATAATGACGAATATACAGGTTAAAGTCATCAAAAGGGTAAAACTTTGTTTTAGAAAGAAAATTCAAGGATTTATAAGTGGGATATCTGGAACCAAAGTGTACAACACTTTCATCCAACTTCAAAAGGATAAAAAGAAACAAGCAGCAAAGATTAAACGCAAATACAGTGCTTATGTCGATAAACATCCATTCCAGCCAAAATCAAAAACTATTCAATGGAATAGAGAAATGTATACGGGAGTAGAAGAATTAAAACAAATAATATTAAACAATCACGTAAACCAAAAACTAGGATATTGGTTGGATATTCAGTTTGGGTATATGCTAAGAAATGTAGAGAATAATGAAATAACTAACTTCTATTCATCAGAGAATACATCGTTTTTCAATGATGAAATCCCAATGATTAATAATGGTATTAATGCTATTTTGGACCAAATGGAGCAAGATACTATTATTGAACGGTTGAAAAGACTAAATTCAAAATATTCTATTGAGAATTTACGAATATGTGATTCTAACGACATCCATCCCTGACATCCCAATTGGAGCTTCAATTTCATTTCCAGTGTTTATCAAGAACAGTAAAAGTATCATTTCATTTGAGAATGTGCCAAATAATCTTTGTTTCTGGTATTGTTTAGCTCATCACAGACATCCAAAACAGAGATTGGACAGATTTTCAAGTATTGCTAAAGAACTCTTTGAAGAATACTACAAAAAGAGTTTCAATAATTATCAAGGCGTGGACGAAGCAGAGCTTGAGTCTATCGAGAATTATTTTTCCATCAAAATCAATATCTACAGTACCACAGAAAAGAAAGCTATCTTGCTACGACATTCGAATAAGCAATTGAGTGATATTCTCAATTTAAATTTGTATACTGATAAGCAAATCAATCACTTTTTCTACATCAAAACCATCAATATATTATCCAAAACATTCCAGTGTCCTGAATGTAGTACTTTTCTCAGTGAAGCTAAAAGATGAGTAGGCATTCTTTAATCTGTAATAAAAGTAATCCAAAGATAGTCTTTGAGGAAGGGAATTATAAGCCTACACCATCTGTTTTTGAAAAGCTGAAAGTAAACGGTATACTTGTTTCAAAAGAGTTGCGATTTCATCCTTACTTTATTTTCTATGATGTTGAGACCTGGTTAAGGCCAAATGAATCAAAATCTGATACAAAACTACAGTATCTTGGAACACACGAATTGCTGAGTATTAGTCTTATGGGCAGTGGGGAAGAGAAACCTGAATTTATTCCAGTAGAAGGAACAACTACAGAGGCATTGAATATTATGATTATTAAGATGAATGAAATAAGAAAGAAATATCTTCACATGTTGTATCCAAACTATTGTGTATTTTTCAAACATATTGCTAAAATTGATGATGAAAAGATAAGATGTTGAGGAAAGATTTGTTGAATTGGTTGGATGATATGCCTGTCTACGGATTTAACTCTAGCTCATATGGTTTGAATGTCATCAAGAAATATCTACCACAAGTTTTAGCAAAACATTCAAAGAAGCAAGGCGATATTTCCAAGAGCGAGAAACTATGGATTCGTTCAATTGATGATGAGTTGGGGAGGAGTCTTGAACAAAACAAAAATATTGGAAGATACAATGTCGATGGTTATGACCAAGAAAGCAATACTGTTTATGAATTCAACGGATGTTTATTTCACGGATGTCTGAAATGTTATAGCTTAAATAACATCAATCCGTTGACTGGTAATAAGATGGATGTGTTGTATGAGAAAACAATGCGAAAGGAATCAGATCTAAAGTATAAATATGGCAGTAAGTAAAAGAAATTGAAACTATTTATTAAACAAACAGGAAGCTATCGATAGGGATAATATGAGCTCTGGCAGCATATCTCGACGAGATTTTGTCATATATCTGAGCACCAGTATCCTTCTCTAGACTGATAGGAACATTCTCGCACCCAACATTGATTCCAACCAAACAGCCAGATGATTGATTAAAGCAACCGCCACCAGAATCACCAGGATTCACTCCCACCGACCCAAGAGTGTGGCCAAAATATTCGGACGCTGTGAGTGAATCACTCCGGTTGAAATGGCAAATGGAGAATCTTCTTGATGAGGAGCAGAAAGGCCTAGCTGAACATACCGACGTCCATAAACAACAGGTTCCCAAATTGGCCCCTCCTCGCACAAATCAACGTCTGCTTCCAATAGAACCCAGTCACTTTCGATATTGACTTTACGGACCTTTAAATCGTATTGAGAATCTTTTTCAATAGAGAAAGTTTTGATAATGTTTCCAACCTCCAAAGTGCGATGTTCATTGTGAGCAAAAGTAATGGCTGTTCTCTTTTTGATGATTGTAACACATCCCCATCTTTCAGTTCTGAAGAGATACTTTTTTGTCTTTTCAATAGTACTGTCGATTTCTTGCTGCTTGAGTGAACCATCAGAAACAGGTGAGATTTCTCGAGTTTCCTCGTCACTGGAGGAGTAAGAGCGGATGAGAATATTCTTCTCTTCCAGCAGCTTCTCCTTCTCTCTCTGGAGACCAGTGAGGTTGGCTGACGCACCGTCGTAAAGGCTTTTTAAGCCGGCAAGAATAGAGTCTGCTTTTTCCTCCAGAATAGCATTCTCCAACCTTTCCTCTGCTCTGTTTACTTTCTTCTTTTGCTCCCAGAAGTTCCTCCTGTAGAGCAGCAAGAGCAGCTTTCACTTCCTTGAGCTGTTTTCTTCTTGACGCCATTTCATTTTAAAAAGGTAAAAAAACATTCAACACCACAAAAGTTTATCACAATATAATCTACCTTCCATATATACTTATTATCGTAATTAAATTCTGATTTAATTGAATTTGAATTGTTTGAATATAGAGCAAATTCCATTGGATTGAACAAGAATATCAGATATTTGTATGAATTTAGCACTGACAATAAACCACCATTTTGGCCATTGAATCCCTTATTATTTTATAATAAAACTTATGCCACAGACAAACTATAATTTAACTCACTTTGTACTGATTTTAGGAGAGAGCGTCTGCCAAATAAGGTGGTATCATTTGGTGCCCTATCTATACTACTCTCTGACACAGTAATGCGGACTCGTGCACCGAGTTGAGTTGTCCAGCAATCGATTTTGGAAATGTATTTGATGTGATGGTTTGAGATGGATGCCAAATGACCACGAATGTTACCAATTGTCATGACAGTTGATTGTTGATTCAAAACGTTGTTTGTTTGGTATTAATGGTTAGAGTGTCACTCATTGACCTGTCAGATCAGCAAGTGTTATTTCGGTGAGTTTCGTGTTTATTGTAGTCACATCAACATCAGCAGGTTGCACTACGGATTTGCTTGACAGAGTTGCAGATCCAGTTGGATTGATAGACGAGCAACTGTGCAAACAACTGTGCGAGTTGCAGGATGTTTGAGATCCAACAAAACACTGCTTGCACACAAGTTCATGAATGCAGATTGTCAGACTTGACCATCAACTCGCAGTATAAATTGCATGTACGACAGTTTACACGCTTACCCATCAACAATAAACCCACATAATCAGCAAATCATCAACGAACAGCCAGCTCAGTGGTCGGGTTGATGGTTTTTGTTGGAGTTTCTGGAACAAATTTGACCTGATTTGTACCGAGTTGGGTCATGACTACAAGTTTGACAGCAATAGATTGATCCACTAATAATCTGATCGTGTTGTTGATTGTATGGATGTTGGTAATCTGTTGCAGATTGATACGGAATGTGACCAGAATACCACAAAGTTTATTGAGTGTGCACATCGCATTCGATGCAAAACGCAATAAACAAATGCGAGTTGCAGCATTCATTCAAGGTTCAACACCAGTCGATACAGCATTGACCGCAATGGCATTTATGTCAACAATTGCACGATTACGGAATAAGTTGATTGTTGCTTGTCATTCCGTATCGACAGTCTGCGTGTGTGTGCAACGTGCTGTTGTCGCATATAAACAACTTGGATTGACTTTGTGGACAAAACACAGTCACTGTTGCGGTGATGTTTACAGTCGTGAAAATGGTTTCGAGTACCACAACTGGTATAACAACTACAGGTGTTGGTGAGCAACCAGAGT